AGTTCTCGTCGGAGGTCTATGTGTTAGTTTTCGTTTTTGATTTGTTCTATTATTGTAATGGTCCAAAGTGACATGAATCAGACTCTCTTATTAGTCCATGACATGTGTGATACTCTTTCCTCCCCTGGGGTTTGTCCCATGAGATTGTCCTAGGAAAGTTTTAACGAGACAACTGTATCATGTTGTTCTTTGTACGTCTTTAATTCTATGAATGAATTCTCCTTCTCAAAAAGAGATCCCTCAATAAAAGAGAACTCTATATATATATATATATATATATATATATATTCATAATTAAAAGTAGATAAATGCAATATGATAACTAAACAACCATTTACCACAATCACCATTATTATCATATTGTAACTTCCAATAACTTCCACACACACCATAGCATACAGTTACCTCTAGTTATGATTTCATACTTGGAGTTTCATGGCAAACATTCATAAAACTTGGAACTTTGAATTTATTCTTACGTCTGAAAATGGTCTTCGGCACAAATTATGAGCAAATCTCATTATTCAAGTGTTTTGGACAGGTCTTTTCGTTTTTTTGTAAGCAGGACATGGCTAGATATTGAAACTTATGATAGAGGAAAATGCAACCCCAAGGCCAGATCAATCAGTCATTTGTGCGTTAGATAATTATAGAGAGAACCAGAAATATCTACAATATTCCTCCCTACAATGGACATAATTCTATACAAAAGATGGTCAACTGTGTGCCTTGACCTCCAAACTACCAAAAAGCTGAATGATCATGAGATAGGCCTCTTCTTCCTCATGTAGCTTGGTCAACAAAAGTTCAAGCTTCTCTGAACTCGTATTTCAATCTCAGAGTCAAGCCTACTTATGGCCTCTTTCACTTCCAAAACCTTTGCCTCTAAGCTCTTCAAGTCTAGCCTCCATAAATCCTTTTGATTTTGAAGCAATAATTGCAAGCTGGTCCAGCCGAGCACGCAGGAACCCGACATTCATGCCTAAACCCTCAAAGGCGATCAAAGTCTTATTCCAAGTGGAAAAGTATCCTTCTGAGGTTGTAATCTTGCAGGCCTTGATGGCATCTGCAATGTTGATTGTCTCAGAAATTACTCCAACTATTAGTTTGCAGTTCAGACCCTCAAGAAGATGTTCATGAAGGAATGAGTTTTGACTGCAGCAAAGCTCGTAATACTTGTTCAGAACGTATTTCGAAAACTCGGAATTTATGTTTAAACCATTGACCAAGACGTTGAAGTTATCCATACAGTACATTTCTTTGAATGGGACAACAGACTCTGAAAGTCCAAGTCCATTCAGAACTTCAAAACCAAGATCTTCACTATCATTTTCAGACTGGTCTGATAGCGGACGAGATTTTGTATTAAAGGCTATTGCATGGTCCTCTGGAATAGGTTCCAAATTCCCACTTTCTTCCCTTTCACATGAAATAATGTGTCCTGCATGATATAATTATAAATTACAGAAATGATACAGGGAGATCAAAGAAAGCAAGAGTTATAACTGTCAAACCATTAAGCAAAATAACTTGGTGAATTTTAAACAACATACCAGTATCCATCTGCTTAATGCAAGCATCTAACCTCATGAGGCCAACAGCGCAATCCGCTTCATCTAAACCATTTGATCTAATAATATAAACCTAAACAAGTAGGCAGAAAAAGAAGTAAGCGGTTCATCTGCATATTCAGAAGTAGCATCTAAAAGCAGTAAATGTCTATAATCTATGCTCCACAGCACCTATGCAAGATCTCCATTCAAGAGGCATTAGGAAATCTTCACTACGGAGAATCAATCTTATCCTTTATCTTTAATCTCCATTCAATGGAAAACCCTCCTAAAGTCAAGAAAAATATTGACAAGCTGAAAAAATCTACGATGAACCAAATTATTCCTACATTTTTCTTCAAATCGCAGGATAAAAATTATCGACATCATAACCATCACAATGGCCTGCCTAGCATCTTCTATTTATGCATTACATTGAGAACATATTTGATTCACAAGATTTGGTGTGCAGAGCGATGACCAAGTTTTTTTAAAGCATTGAATTTCTTCTTCAAATTCGAGTTTACTCAATGTTTCACAGTGGCACTTAAACAATTTCAAGATATTAACAAAGGATGGCACTTGCAATCAAATCATTTAAAGATATTAACAAAGAATCCACACAAACATATCAAGAAAGAAGGTATCATTTACCTTGAATTTGGAAGGAGTGACTACATGGAAAATCACAATATCTCCCTCCAGTAGCTTGTGAGCCATTGAAAACCCTCTCCATCCACCACTCAGCCCTACCTTCTCCGCAAGATATTTGGTTTCAAATTCTTTCCCATTTCCACTTCCCCCCCAAAAAAAAAATTACGAACAAAAAGAACAAAAATCGTTTAATTTCTATTTTATGTTGGGTTTGGCTCCATTATTTCAATTTTTTTAAAACTTTCCTTGTGTTAGTAAATTGGTCTAGTTCTTGATTTCCACCTCATTTACTAACATTAACAAATCAAAAGCTACGTAGGCTTCACGTTATAATCCGTAATCTAATACACAAAAAATCAAGAATTAGATTGCTAAGGAATAGTTGACCCCATACTTATTCCTCGTCTCCCCAACTTCTCCCATTTCAAAGAAATAAACATGGCCTACTCAATCTTTTCTAATGAAACTGCTACAAGTAGGTCATGTAACAATAGTATTAACAGGAATGTAGGAGTTATTACAGAGAAAGGAGGGAAGTATTCCATTAACAATAGAGCAAGGGTTTAATTCAAGATGCATGTTTTTGAAGTAGGATATGAATTGATTAAGCATCTACTTGTCTCTTCTTGCTATTATTTTGTTGAGTGTACGTATACTTTCTTGTACTTTTTTTTTATAGTGTAATGAATAAAAATATATATAGTTAATTGTTTTCACCCTTGTGCCAGAGGCTTTTCTATTTTGCTGTCATTATTATTATAAAGGCCAAATTGTAGCAACGGTTTTTGGACTATACCCTAACTTTATTTTTTGTCCCTCGCATTGTTTTGTTGTTACCGTGGTACTTTAATTATGCATTCAGTTTCAAAAAGCGTCATTTCTGTCATCTCTGTCAACTTTTCTATTAAAAATGATGATATGGCAATGACAAGTCCTACTTTAACATGGGCAAAAATGTATTTTCACACAAATTATAAAATTAAATTAAATCTATCTATCTCTCTCTCTCTCTCTCTCTAACCCCCCCAACACAAACCCATAGCTACAGTTCTGCCAATACATAAACAAATAGCTATAGGAAGTGACCAACTTCTCTTAGCATATCAATACACCTGACCAAGAAGCTAGCAAATCCGAAGTAAACAAGAAAGTGGAGGGCTGCGGGAGAGAGAAATTCTTTTGATGGTTTTCCGTTCTTGGGACTTTTATTTGTTCAATGATAAGGCTTTTGCAATTTGTTCAATGGCAGACTATTAATTTGGGAAGAATGTCATTATGAACCATCATTTCAGCCTCCTTCAAAGATTGAACCAATTTCTCTTCACAAATCCAGAAGCAAAAGAAAAGATGCCTCCGCTTCTCTGATCAGATCTGGGGTGGAGAATAGGGGCTGGGGTTCCGGGTTCATGGGTGCTGGGCTTGCGAGCTAGGGTAGAGGGTTCTGGCTTCGTGGGTGCTGGGGTTGGGGGAAAAGAAGAACACAAATTTATAAATAAACCCAATCCTAGACATGTATTTATAAAAAAATCCAAGTACTATTTAAACATAGAAACACACCTAAAATCAACCCCAAAGTTAATTTTTTTGGTGTGTTTATAAATGGATTTTGAGTGTGTGTAATGATGGGTTTTGGGTGTGTTTATAAAGTGTTTTGGGTGTTAGGGTTTTTTATAATTTCAACCTCCATTTTGGGTGTTTTAGTGAAACTCCCAAAGAAGAAATCATCGGAGAAGTGGGAGAGCGCAGAGGAGAGAGAGAGAGAGAGAGAGAAATATTATGAATTTCCCAATTTGCCCTTAATTTTAACAGAAAATTTAACTAAATTGACGGAAAGACCAATGGTGCAACATAAAATCTAATTAAAATACCACGATAACAACAAAACAACGTGAGGGACAAAAAGTAAAGTTTGGGTATAGCCAGGTCCTTTACTACAATTTGACCTATTATAAATATTGGGTAAAGTGATATTGTTATGCCGAAAATATGCAGCGCACATTTTACTCTCTTTTTTTAAGCGAAAAAAATAGTCTTTAAAAACTGTTGAGTACATGTCCCACGAGAGTGGCGCAGTTGGTTGGCAAAGATTCATGACGCTTGGAAGTTTGAATTTATTAGCTCCTGTCTGAAGTTTATTTGTGAAAATATACTTTATACGGTCACGTAGGTAACACGTATCAGGTATAATATTAATGAACACACACGTGATATAATATAAGTAAATTAATGAGACCATGTGTTTCACCGGAAACTTGGTAGGTTTTTCATTCTTTATAACCAATATGGCTAGATATTGAAATTTATGGCCAGATCAATCAATTATTTGTGCGTTAGATAGTAATAGCTAAATCAAGAATCACGCACTTGGAAGAATGATTCCTTAAACTCAAGTAGCATGTAATAGTTCCTTAAATAAGGAAAAAAGAAGACAGCATTATTGGATCTGACATAAACTTGTGCTTTTGTGTTTTTGCGTAAGAGAGGATATTGGCAATTGGTTCAATAAAAAATCTTCCATTGATAGCTGGAAATTGCAAAAGAGAGAACCACAAGGAACAACATTCCTCCCTATTTGGTAGGTAGCTTGTGATACCTCCAATAATGGACATAATTCTATACTGAAGTTACCCAAAATCTCTGCAGTAAGACAACTGCAGGGCTCAAGTACATCATCTCCTATACAACAAAAGCACAATTATCATGAGACACGAGCTTTGGCACAGTTCTGGTTCTGAACTAGAACGCTTGAGCTATAACTTACACCAAAAAAGAACCAGAGACATTGAAGTTTTCTCATCACCAAGGGGCTTTAGCCACTTCTTGGAATGTAAGTTCGAGAATTGAAGTCATATTTATGGTCTCTTTTACTTCCAAAGGATTTGCATCCAAGCTCCTCATCTCTTCTTCTGGATGGTCCTTTTCAAGTCTAGCCTCCTTCAATCTTTTTGATTCTGAAGCAAGACTTGCAAGCCGGTCCAGCCGGGCACGCAGGAACCCGGCATTCATGCCTAAATCCTCAAAAGCTTTCAAAGTCTTACTCCAAGTGGAAAAATCACCTTCGGTGGTAGTAATCTTGCAGGCCCTGATGGCATCTGCAATGTTGACTGTCTCAGAAATCACTCCAGCTATCAATTTGCAGTTCAGACCCTCAAGAAGATGTTCATGAAGGAATGCTTTTTGACTGCAACAAAGCTCATAATACTTGGTCAGAATGTAATTCGAAAACTCAGAATTTATGACTAAACCATTGACGACAACGGTGAAGTTCACCATGCATTTCACTTCTTTGAAAGTGACATCAGACTCTGCAAGTCTAAGTCCATCCATAAATTCAAAACCAAGATCTTCACTATCATTTTCAGACTGATCTGATACCGGACCAGACTTTTCGGTTTCATATGGAATAATCTGTCCTGCATGATTTAAATTATAGAATGACGTCACAGGGGGATCAGAAAAGGTAAGAGTTATGATTGCCAAGAAATTTAGCACAAATAACTTGGTGAATTTTGAAACTACTTTTGAAACTACTTACCAGCATCAATCTGTTTAGTGCAAGCATCTAACCTCATAAGGCCATGAACGCAGTCCACTTCATCTAAACCGTTTGATCTAACAATATACACCTAAGAAAGTAGGCAGCAAAAGAATTGAGTGGTTCATATGCTTTCAGAAGTACCATCTCAAACAGTAAAATGCCTATTTTCTATGCTTGATAGCCAAGCATTAGGAATTGTTCACTAAGGACAATCAATCTTATCATTTTTTCTCTTAAAATACCCTACCTAAAGTTGAAGAAATATGACAAACTCAAAAAATCTACAATCACCAAATTACCCTTTTCGTCAAATCACAGGATAAACATGTTCATCATCGTCACTATCATAATTGCGTCCCTAGAATCTATCCTCTATATATACTTCGCATTCAGAACAACTTTGATTTACAAGATTCGGTTTGCAAACTCATCAAGTTTACTGACACTTGCAAGCCAACAATTTCAAGATATTAACAAAGGATCCACACAAAAATTTCAAGTGGTTCAATCAGTTACCTTAATTTTAAAAGGCGCCACTACATGGAAAATCACAATATCTCCCTGCAGTAGCTTGTGAGCAATTGAAAACCCTCTCCATCCACCACTCAGTCCACCCTTCTCCACAAGATATTTCGTTTCGAATTCCTTCCCATCTTCATCTTCCAAAATAATCATTGTATCTTGTTTTGGCAAATGCTGACAGCTAAATTTCTTCGGAATATTCTGCCAAATCAAAGATAGCGCATATTAATATATCATCCTAATAGTCCATGCCTTTAGATAAATGCACAGATTGTGAAGAGAGTGAGTAGGGTTTACAAGGCAGAATCCTCCAGTAACATGTGATGGCATCATAACTTTGAGCAGGACAGGGAACCTAGGATCTAGGCTTGCTTCAACCTCCTTTGCTCTTGCCATAACAGAAGACTGAGCTTCGGAACTATCATATAAGCTTTCTACCTTCACTCTTGTAATAACTCTCTTTCGTTTATGACTATTGGTAAAAAGATTAAGGGTCCAGTGTTAGTTTAAAACTAAAACAAATAAGTTTTATGAGTGAAAGCAGATTAGAAAGTAAATTAAATATACACACTGACCTTTGAGACATAATGGGATTAACATTGACTACCTGCATTCAAGAAGTTGCAAGATTTTTTGGTTAATTCAGTATCTGAATCTCAATCTATTGATAAGAAACGGAAAATTCAAAAACCTTTTTTTCTTTTTCTTTATTTTGTTTTTCATTTCAATCGTCAAAACTTCAGACCATGAATATAATTGAAAACTTGTCTTCTGCAGGGAATCTGCAGATGCTTAAAAAAGGCTCATGCTTACGAAATTTTCCAAAACTGTTTGTTCGAAAACGCTTCCTACTAAAAACCCATTTCAGAAAGCTTGTAACTTGAAAAGATTAATATTATTCGATAAATTTTAGACCGATGGTAATCATCAAACCATGTCGGCGTCTCCTTCAAAATCGGAAATAACAAAAACCCAATACAAAATAGTGCTTCTCACATTGCTTAAAGCCATCAGTTCGAGGCATGAAGATTTTTGCCCAAACAGCTTTTCCATTTTCATGCTCTGCAAATGATTAGTAAACAGACAGTTACATACTCGGATTACAAGCAAACCCATAAATCATATCTAAGAGAGGAAGAGAGAGTGGACCTCGGATGGTGGGTAAGAGAAGTTCCGGTTCTGATCTTGAAGAACAGCCATTGGCTCCCTCGTTGCCATTGGTTATGGTCCTATGGAGGTCAAGAGCGAGCCAATAGGCTTAAATATGGATGTATGAGAAAGGGGAGGATGAAAAGACCGTTGGATTTCAAATCTTTTTATTTCTAAAATGGAGCCAATTTTCAAAAATACGAGGGGCAGTTTGGATATTGACCCTGCGGCTACAATGTACTCGTTTCCCCCCAGAAAAATATTTACTTTATTTACCAAAAAAGTTACCATTATTGATTGGAAGTCAACTTAAAATGGCTCACCGGTTACAACTAGAATTGGAAAAACCTATGAAAAAGGACTTTTGTTGTAGCACTCTTCTCAAATAGATCTATTATATGGATGTCATTTCGATATGTTATTGTCAATATTATTCCATTATATCGATAATATAAATAGCCTAATATAGTCTCGATATGACATAAATAAAGTATCGATATTCTGTTGAAATTATCGATTTTTAACACTAATAATCCTATTTGAGAAGTTTTCACATTAGAACTTATTCTGGTAATATTTATCTTCTTGATGTTACAAGAGTAATCCAATGTGGATCCCAATTTCAAAAGTTAAAGCAGTACTCATCTTCATGAAAAACATTGACATCAAGCTCTAGGGTGGCCAGTAACCGAAAACCAGCCCATACAAAAGTTGTGTTACATTTTAGAGGCAACAGATGCAACCAAGTGAGTTGCAAGAATCCCTTTTTTTCCTGCCTTCATAAAATTGGCATTTATTACCTTTAATCATCGTGTGATATTACCGTTTCACTCAACCTGATTATATTTATTTTGTATAATTATGACGCGTGTTCAGCAAAGTGATTTCGTTAGAACATGCGTACTACTAGATGCACCAACTATCACTCCAACTATTAACTGATGCAATGTGATAGTATCCAAGAGTATTTATGACAAATTTATTTTCTTTGAAAGTGTTGGCCAAAAATTAATGTTTACCCAAGAGTTCAGTCCTCAACCCACGAATGCCCATGCTGTATATCTCTATTTCGTTTCCTTGAGGGAAATAACTTCCGTGTCGCGGGTGCAATGCAACTTTATCTTATGCTCAGATAAGGGTGCATTGAAATGATATCATACTTGAGTACATGGCAAACATTCATGAAACTTGGAACTTCGAATGTTGCTCACATCTGAATATTGTCTTCAGCAGCAGTTCATGAATCATTCAAGACTGTGTAGTGTATATCTTGTATTTAACATATGGGTCTCAGAAGAAGAACTTGACCATATGGTATCCACACGCTATATAACTAAAGCGGCATGTGATAGCTAGAGGATGAGGGTAAAGATCCTTTGTTTAAGCTTGCACTTAAGTTAAAAGGAGAAGAAAAAATAAGAAACATTTACACCAAGAAGATTCTTTGGGAAAAGAAAAATTAGCAAAGGATTTGATTATAATGCTAGGCATATGTATTACAACCAACTTATGTGGAATCCCTAGATCTACTTCTTCAAGAACAAAAAAAAACATCTTAGCATTAGCAAGGTAAAGTGTTCTTCCAAACCCTATGGGTCTTGTGTGTGTGTGTGTGTGTGTGTATTTTCTTTTTCGATTCTGCAGGTCATGTCCTAAAACTATATGCCAGTTGTAGCTAAAGTATACTTCTACTCACCATGGAGCATCAACCTCTTCCTGGAAGATAAACTCAAGCCTTTCGTAAATTTCTTTTAAAGCCACTATCTTGGCATCAAAACTTACCATCATCTCTTTCAATTCCAAAAGCTTTGAGTCAAGAGCTCTCATCTCCCCCCTGCACAAATTTGCTCAACTTTATCTTCTATCCTCTTTAATTCCACAGCCTCTTCTGATCTGAAGGAAGCACTCAGAAGCCGCTTCAGTCGCGCATGTAAGAATCCAACATCCATACCCAACAGCTCAAAGGCATTTAAAGTCTTCTCCCACATTTCGTAATCAGCATGAGAGGCGGACAGCTTGCGAGCTCTAATGGCATTAGCAATGTTAGTAGTTTCAGTTATTATTTCAGCAGCCAACTTACTGTTAATACTTTTGAGGAGATGATCATGCAGAAATGAACCTCGTGAGCAGCATAGATCGTAATAGTTAGTCCTCAGCTGTTTGGAAAGCCAAGAATCTATAGTCACACCATTCACAAGAATGGTGAAATTCTCAATACTTCTAACATCTTCGAAATCAGCTGCTGGTACTGGATATCTAATGCCTCCTGGAAATTTGGAGCCAAATTCCTCATTGTCTTCCTCAGTTTGATTATCTATAAGCTCAGGCTTAGTATCTAACATCAGAGTTGTCTTTCGAATGTTGCCTTGGCAAACATCACTTGAAAGAGGCTTTGGATGGTTTTCCTCTGCATAATTTTTCACCAAGTTAACATTTCAAGTCTACATGCCGTGATCTCATAATTTCTGAGAGAGAGAGAGAGAGAGAGAGAGAGAGAGACAGACAGACAGACAGACAGACAGACAGACAGAGACACAGAGAGACAGAGAGAGACAGAGAGAGACTGACAGTGACAGAGAGAGAGACACAGAGACAGAGAGAGACGGAGACAGAGGGAGAGACAGACAGACAGACAGACAGAGTATACCAAGCACTTCATGTTTGGCGCAGGCATTCAATTTCAAGAGGCTAAAAGCTGCATCTACTTCAGCTAGATTATGTCTTCCCATTATGTACACCTGTAACATTGTGTAGAGATCAACATTATCAAGAAATTAGAACCCCATGGGGATAGAAATCAAGAAATTAGACCCTAAACCCACATGCAAGGGTCAGATGGATAAGCCTCATCCTAGCAAGAAATGCAAATTAAGTGGACAAATGGGTATTAAGAGCCAAGCTGCTCTTGTAAAATTTGCACACAAAAAATGTGCCCGGGAAACAACAGTGGAATACCTTAAACTTCAAAGGCCTGACCAAACGTAAAACTAAGAGATCACCAACTCGTAACTTGTGTGCAGTACAAAACTTTTTCCATCCAGCACTTAGTATCCTCTTTCCGGCAAGAAAAATAATTCTATATTTTTCCCCACTTTCGACTTCCAGGGTTAATGTTGTATCATACAATGGTAAATGCAAATGGCAGAATTGCTTTGGCAGTGTCTGTCAAATAGAAAAATTAAGTGCATAATTAGTTATGTATTTGTCCATGCCTCCAAGTCCAGTCCTTCTAAACTTGGCGCATAAGTTAAGACTTACCAGACAATTCCAAGAGGAAACATTTGAATGTATCATAGACTTAACAACGATGGGGTATTCAGCTCCAAGAATTTCCTGGATCTCCTCAACTTGGGTGCTGGCAGAAGACTTTTCATGTTCGTTAAAATTATCAGACATGGTTCTCTTTCGTTTACAGCTAGTCGGTCAATAAACAATCAACGTTAGATACTTAAAGCAATTAATTGTTGAAGCTGATTAACAAAACATTTTAAAAAAATATACCTACCCTCCATGCTTCCAAGGATCCCCAGGAACTTTCTGTTAAAAAACCATAAGAATTTTCCCTTCAATCCTTTATTGAATTATTGAAGAAAATATTACCATCAACATTATCATCCATATAACTGTGTATATGAGCCATGATATGCAGCATAATACACAGTAGCATAGATAAATGTACAAGGGCTGTATAAAAAATGTGACTACAAGGTATCACTTTGCAAATAACAATTCATTGGGTCAGTTTATCAAACATGTACAAGACAATAAATGGGCCTGTTCTTGGCGGGCATATTTTTGGTTTCCCATATGATTGTTAAGGCACCCAACAGAAAAGCAGACCAAGTTCAAAGAGAATGCAATACCATCTTAACATGCCAAACAGAGCAAAATGGAAAATATCTTTAAAAATGCAAAAACAGAAAAGAAAAAGCAGAGCACATGGGTTCTCTGAGCTCAATATCATACTGAATATCAGAAAAATCATCTTAATCAGTGAGAAAGATGCAACCATAAACTTTTGGTGTGCAAATAAATGACAATGAAAATGGTTCTCACTCGCTTGGTCATATGGGTCGGACTTAAAGGACTTCTCCGAGTGTTGAGCACATTTTTCTTGGTCTTCCATGGTTCCCTCTGCTTTACCTGCGATTGAACAACTACCGTTGAGCAAATAAATTCACAATCTAAAGAGAGAGAGAGAGAGAGTTATATATATATATATATATACCGAAGGGGAAGAATGATGGGTTCTTCGGCGGCTGCGGAGAGATAAGTGGGAAACACTCAAATAGTCTTCTTCTTCTTCTTCTTCATTTTCTTGTGGAACATACTCAGGGTCAGAGAGTTCTTCTTCCTTGACATTCATGGTGAGCATGAAGTTTTGACTGTGTTTCCACTCGTGGGTCATCGCCATTGGAATTTGACAGACACTCAGCCTCAGAGCTCTGTCACCTCACTGGTCACTGCCTTTCTTTTTCTCTTCTGTCAATAGGCATTCACTAGTGTTAGTGATATCTTGTTAAAGAAGGAACCTTGCCTAATTGCTGGTTTTCAGACTCATAATTTCGTATTAATAATATGACAATACGGCACACCATTCTGGAAATGGTATAAGTAGGTAACTTCTCAACGCTGCACTGCATGACCATTTTTGTGTGTGTGTATATATATATATATACATATATAGATGGTTGAAAATTGTTGTGTATAGTTCAATTAATATTTCAGATTCATATAATTTATGCATTTCTTTCCAATTTTATTTATGACAAATTATGAAATTCGAGCTCCCTTAAAAATGAGCCATTGTTCATGTTTTATAATATAAAATTTACATACATCTATATTTATTGAGAAGAACTTAGCAATTGTTTTTCCTCCTATATTTACAACGATTAAATCTTAACAGTCAGGATCGTTCAAGCAACGCATCTAGTAGTGTTAATTGAACGAACGATTGTGTCCGCGCTACAAAGGACCTACAGTACATACAGACTATTAGCTTATGCAAACCAACTTTGCAACCCACTCCTGGTGATATGTATCATCATCTACCATCAAGATCAGTGATCTATACATTCCGATGGTTCGTCAGATGGACAAAATCTGTCTTAAACATATATACGTGGTTATATACATGCGATTATCCCTCGTTCGTTCTGTGCACTTCATGCCAGAGGACCAACTAGTTGGAATGAGCATGCAAATAATGTACGCGGGATACCCCAGAAGGTGTCTGAAAAGGCAGACCTCACCTCCAACTCTTGGGTTGCTACCGCTAATTCTTCGAGACAGATCTCCTTCAAAGGCAAACCTGTAAGAGAAGTCATAATCTCGAGCGACGAATGCTTTTGAGACCATGAGGTGGTGAATTCCTACGAGCAGAGGCAAATGGCTGCCCATTCAAAGACCCACAAAATTTGATATCCCAACCCTCGACGTTCTTAGGGACACAAACATCAAACAGGACTTGGCCGAGTACACTATGTGCACTAATGCTTGGGGGCTTGGGCAGAGAGATTGATCTTTCTTTCTGTTCATCTTGCAATGACCCAGAGTCCCTAACATTATGATTCTCTGCTGAACTTGGCAAGAAGAAGTGGTCGCTTGGTTCCACTGCAACTCTTCTGAGACTCTGGTTAGAATTTACAGCTACTGTCCGGAGATCACAGATTAGTTCAGATATCTCATCGTGCATGCCTTCCATGCTAGCATTTTGACCTTCAAGTTCTTGAATTCTTTGAGAAAAAACCATAGCTGCCTTCTCAAGGAAATGAGTAACAGACGACCTGTATTGTATTGGATAATGCTTATAATGACCTGAAATGAAAATAAAGTTATGATATTTTAGTTCTTATGTGCAATAAGCATGGAAGTAAACCAAGAGTTGACAATGAGAAAAATACTATGCACTGTTCATATATCCGATGAGTGTTTCCCATTTTTTTTTTTTTTTTTCTTGCAATATCTTGGAAGACAAAACCCTCCAATAACCTCTTTTTATTGACAACTCTAAAGTTATACATTATCCATTTCTGGGAACTATTTCTGCAATTTTGCAAACTCATTTTGCAGTATAATAATCTTGGCATAAAATATGCACGCTCATGTGTTTAACGGTACAAGACCCATTGAATAACAGCCTCCAAGTAAGAGAATGCAAGTCCCCAAAGTCTACTTATCCTATTTTTTACACTTTCTGTTTGTCCAAGATAAGATGGTGCCCACAAGGTTTCACAAAAAGTTAAGAAGATATTTACAATAATTGCTATGCAGGAGTGTTGCCTCAACACGGCATAATTTCACTCAAAAAAGAACATAGATATTTCATTAAATATAACGAATTATTATAAAAAGTACGTTAAAGAACCAGTGCTAAGCTATGTTTAGAGTTTAACACATCACTGATGAGCAATATAACTTCTAAAGGTAGTGGGCAAAAAAGAAATTGAAAATCCACACAGGATACTAATAACAGAGAAAGAAAAAAGCTAAAAAATAAAAAATAAAAAGAGTTTTGAAACAAACCTAGGTGAGGGGAGCCATTCAATTTCACAAGATTGACATCTCCTCCAAGTTCTTGTAAACGTTGAGTAAAATTGTAGATAATATGATAAGGAGCCAGATCATCTTTATCAGAGCATAAAACGAGAAATGGAGCACCCAAATTCTACATGAAAAAGTAATTATTGCATTAATTAATAGAAACAAACAACAAACAACAAGTGGGTAAAGGCTAAATAAGAACTTACAACAGAGGAAAACAAAGCCTGCCAATACTCAGCGCACTGGGATTCAAACCTAGTAAGATACAAAGCATCCAGACCAGAAGCAATGCCTTTAGCTAGCCAAGAAACCAGTTTTGATGATCCAGGCATCTTTAGAATGGCTGGGTGTAGTCCATATTGAGTGCCCAGATCACTCGTAAAATCAACTGGACCAGAATCATAGATGTGTCCGGTAATACACTTTCTGACCAATCGATATTCGGCCTTCACAAAAGTTAAAGAAACTAATAAGAATCAGTGTCTAGAATGAATCTGTTGGATCAAATGGGCATTAACAAAAAAAATATAGTCCAGAAGTTTTAACTGAAATACAAAAGAAATGCATACCGGATAGAGCTGACCTTCACAAATTCCCTCAATAATCTGCATTTACATGTGCTAAAGTCATTACACAGTACCACCATTGTAACGAAATCAGTAAAGACCAGTTAAGACTTGCAAATAATAAATAAAAAAATTCCTGAAATAAGTTTATCAGTATCAAATACAAAATTGGTTATCTATCATTTATGAAAGTTACCTGAAAAACCTTGTACATACACGCTTTTGTACCAGCAGAAAGAGCCACAAACACTACAGGGCATGGCTTAATCCTTAGCTCCTGCAAACCCAAAATACATAAATGAATAAGTACTCAACAGATTACAATTGAGCAATATTAAAAGCTATACCGACGCCTAATTTATCCCAGATTAAAAACAGATGAAAGATTCGTATGGAACGGGATCCCACACCATACTGAAGTTGCGTTTTTCATTTTTTGCGTAGGTGTAAAACACATACACTACTCAAACAGTCATTAGCCAGGCATCGCACAATAGCTCCATACTATGCATCAAATCAGAAGAAACATTTAAAAATTGGCAAACTAGTACGGAAACTGACCTCAACAAGCTCATTGAGAATAACAAAGGCGGACGACATGGCCTTCTCGGGATCGAATCTGCACATGATTTCATCATCCGGGAACAAATTAGCTCGAAATGAAGCAAAATGAAATAAAGATCCAATCTTAAAGTCCTTCCATGAATCCCAAACCAAAATTTCTACCAATTACAAACCAACCCACGAAAGTTCCAATACACAAAGAATCCCAGGACGTAGGACAAGGACAAATAAAAAACTTATGCATGCTGTGTTTGACTGGTGAGAACATGTGAGAAAAGCCACTTACGCATGGAGAAAATGGGAATGGCAAACGAGGGAATTCCAACCGAGAGACGAATACAGATCCACGTAATTCTGCAAGTGTCTCTCGTGAATCGAAACCCAAGCGAAGATGACAGCGATTCCTTTTGAATCAGAGACCTCTTCCTTTCGTCCCCAGAAGATACCGCCGCCACCACCACCACCACTGCCACTACCTCCCCCACCCCACATAACTTAGCTTCTCCGCTACTCGGGGAATTTGGGGGAATAATTTTTTGGAATTCTAGGGTTTTGTGGATTTGTTAGATTGCGAAATAGTGGTTGGAGAGGTGTTGGCTTGCTAGAGCCACTCGTGTTCTTGTGTGAAATCTCAAACTCTGAGAAGAGAAAACGATAGGGGCTGCTGATCATGACGCTCATGGACCATGAACCGTGGGGGTGGGGCCGCCGCCACGTCAGACCGTTCGCACCACGCGCATTTTAGGATAAGCCCAGCCACTTTGGAAACCTGCTGGCAAATACGGATTAGGACAGAAACTTTCATGCAATCGGGATAATATTTTTGTTATTTCTGGCCAATAATGTAATAACAGTAATTATTATGCGTGTTATTATATTATTGAACAGATATAGCAAAATAGTCATATCTTCGTTACAAGTTTTTTTAGTGGATTAGGTCAGTTAATCACGACAATAAGAGCATCTACAATCATGTTCCTTAATTTTTAGTTAACGTTTAGCAAAAAAGACACGAAAACTATTTTAGGAGCTCTCTATAAAATTTGAATTCTAATCATACTTCATACTTTAGAGAGTCATAAATGCAACATTAAATTATATGGAGCCAATAGAAGTCATTTCTCTCTCCTCAGATGTAGAAGCTCTTAGAGGTCTCTCTATTTTAGGAGTTAGGAGCATGGTTGGAGATGTATTTTCCAATTCCTCTCAAAAATTTGTCTAATGAGGTAGTTTATGGAGTCCATTATGGATGCTCTAAGAACATCTACAATCATACTCTTTATTTTTTAGTTAAAATTTAGCTAAAAGACATAGATATTTCATTAAATATAACGAATTATTATAAAAAGTACGTTAAAGAACCAGTGCTAAGCTATGTTTAGAGTTTAACACATCACTGATGAGCAATATAACTTCTAAAGGTAGTGGGCAAAAAAGAAATTGAAAATCCACACAGGATACTAATAACAGAGAAAGAAAAAAGCTAAAAAATAAAAAATAAAAAGAGTTTTGAAACAAACCTAGGTGAGGGGAGCCATTCAATTTCACAAGATTGACATCTCCTCCAAGTTCTTGTAAACGTTGAGTAAAATTGTAGATAATATGATAAGGAGCCAGATCATCTTTATCAGAGCATAAAACGAGAAATGGAGCACCCAAATTCTACATGAAAAAGTAATTATTGCATTAATTAATAGAAACAAACAACAAACAACAAGTGGGTAAAGGCTAAATAAGAACTTACAACAGAGGAAAACAAAGCCTGCCAATACTCAGCGCACTGGGATTCAAACCTAGTAAGATACAAAGCATCCAGACCAGAAGCAATGCCTTTAGCTAGCCAAGAAACCAGTTTTGATGATCCAGGCATCTTTAGAATGGCTGGGTGTAGTCCATATTGAGTGCCCAGATCACTCGTAAAATCAACTGGACCAGAATCATAGATGTGTCCGGTAATACACTTTCTGACCAATCGATATTCGGCCTTCACAAAAGTTAAAGAAACTAATAAGAATCAGTGTCTAGAATGAATCTGTTGGATCAAATGGGCATTAACAAAAAAAATATAGTCCAGAAGTTTTAACTGAAATACAAAAGAAATGCATACCGGATAGAGCTGACCTTCACAAATTCCCTCAATAATCTGCATTTACATGTGCTAAAGTCATTACACAGTACCACCATTGTAACGAAATCAGTAAAGACCAGTTAAGACTTGCAAATAATAAATAAAAAAATTCCTGAAATAAGTTTATCAGTATCAAATACAAAATTGGTTATCTATCATTTATGAAAGTTACCTGAAAAACCTTGTACATACACGCTTTTGTACCAGCAGAAAGAGCCACAAACACTACAGGGCATGGCTTAATCCTTAGCTCCTGCAAACCCAAAATACATAAATGAATAAGTACTCAACAGATTACAATTGAGCAATATTAAAAGCTATACCGACGCCTAATTTATCCCAGATTAAAAACAGATGAAAGATTCGTATGGAACGGGATCCCACACCATACTGAAGTTGCGTTTTTCATTTTTTGCGTAGGTGTAAAACACATACACTACTCAAACAGTCATTAGCCAGGCATCGCACAATAGCTCCATACTATGCATCAAATCAGAAGAAACATTTAAAAATTGGCAAACTAGTACGGAAACTGACCTCAACAAGCTCATTGAGAATAACAAAGGCGGACGACATGGCCTTCTCGGGATCGAATCTGCACATGATTTCATCATCCGGGAACAAATTAGCTCGAAATGAAGCAAAATGAAATAAAGATCCAATCTTAAAGTCCTTCCATGAATCCCAAACCAAAATTTCTACCAATTACAAACCAACCCACGAAAGTTCCAATACACAAAGAATCCCAGGACGTAGGACAAGGACAAATAAAAAACTTATGCATGCTGTGTTTGACTGGTGAGAACATGTGAGAAAAGCCACTTACGCATGGAGAAAATGGGAATGGCAAACGAGGGAATTCCAACCGAGAGACGAATACAGATCCACGTAATTCTGCAAGTGTCTCTCGTGAATCGAAACCCAAGCGAAGATGACAGCGATTCCTTTTGAATCAGAGACCTCTTCCTTTCGTCCCCAGAAGATACCGCCGCCACCACCACCACCACTGCCACTACCTCCCCCACCCCACATAACTTAGCTTCTCCGCTACTCGGGGAATTTGGGGGAATAATTTTTTGGAATTCTAGGGTTTTGTGGATTTGTTAGATTGCGAAATAGTGGTTGGAGAGGTGTTGGCTTGCTAGAGCCACTCGTGTTCTTGTGTGAAATCTCAAACTCTGAGAAGAGAAAACGATAGGGGCTGCTGATCATGACGCTCATGGACCATGAACCGTGGGGGTGGGGCCGCCGCCACGTCAGACCGTTCGCACCACGCGCATTTTAGGATAAGCCCAGCCACTTTGGAAACCTGCTGGCAAATACGGATTAGGACAGAAACTTTCATGCAATCGGGATAATATTTTTGTTATTTCTGGCCAATAATGTAATAACAGTAATTATTATGCGTGTTATTATATTATTGAACAGATATAGCAAAATAGTCATATCTTCGTTACAAGTTTTTTTAGTGGATTAGGTCAGTTAATCACGACAATAAGAGCATCTACAATCATGTTCCTTAATTTTTAGTTAACGTTTAGCAAAAAAGACACGAAAACTATTTTAGGAGCTCTCTATAAAATTTGAATTCTAATCATACTTCATACTTTAGAGAGTCATAAATGCAACATTAAATTATATGGAGCCAATAGAAGTCATTTCTCTCTCCTCAGATGTAGAAGCTCTTAGAGGTCTCTCTATTTTAGGAGTTAGGAGCATGGTTGGAGATGTATTTTCCAATTCCTCTCAAAAATTTGTCTAATGAGGTAGTTTATGGAGTCCATTATGGATGCTCTAAGAACATCTACAATCATACTCTTTATTTTTTAGTTAAAATTTAGCTAAAAGCACACAAAAGTTATTTTAGGAGCTCTCTATAAAATTTGAACTCCAACCATACTCCCTAATTTAAGGAGTCATAAATACTATAGTTTTTTTTTAATTCAATATAATTGGTTCATCTCTATAAAATATATATATATATATATAATACTTAGCATTAATTAAAAGTTTAAAGTATGTATAAAACAAAGTAACATTAAATTATAAAGAGCTACTAAGAGTCATTTCTCTCTCCTCAGATTTAGGAGCTCATAGATATCTCCCTATTTTAGGAGGTGGATAGAGAGTATGGTTATAGTTGTATTTTTCCAATTCTTGCCTATAATTTGTCTGAGAATGTGATTTAAGGAACCCATTTTAGATGCTCTACAATCACTATTGGGCCTAACGCCTTTACATATCCATGCCAACAAAATAGGTACTTGCATGAGTTAAACTAAAGAGTTTTTCTATTTAAACATCATAACCCACTCCTGGTGATATGTATCATCATCTACCATCAAGATCAGTGATCTATACATTCCGATGGTTCGTCAGATGGACAAAATCTGTCTTAAACATATATACGTGGTTATATACATGCGATTATCCCTCGTTCGTTCTGTGCACTTCATGCCAGAGGACCAACTAGTTGGAATGAGCATGCAAATAATGTACGCGGGATACCCCAGAAGGTGTCTGAAAAGGCAGACCTCACCTCCAACTCTTGGGTTGCTACCGCTAATTCTTCGAGACAGATCTCCTTCAAAGGCAAACCTGTAAGAGAAGTCATAATCTCGAGCGACGAATGCTTTTGAGACCATGAGGTGGTGAATTCCTACGAGCAGAGGCAAATGGCTGCCCATTCAAAGACCCACAAAATTTGATATCCCAACCCTCGACGTTCTTAGGGACACAAACATCAAACAGGACTTGGCCGAGTACACTATGTGCACTAATGCTTGGGGGCTTGGGCAGAGAGATTGATCTTTCTTTCTGTTCATCTTGCAATGACCCAGAGTCCCTAACATTATGATTCTCTGCTGAACTTGGCAAGAAGAAGTGGTCGCTTGGTTCCACTGCAACTCTTCTGAGACTCTGGTTAGAATTTACAGCTACTGTCCGGAGATCACAGATTAGTTCAGATATCTCATCGTGCATGCCTTCCATGCTAGCATTTTGACCTTCAAGTTCTTGAATTCTTTGAGAAAAAACCATAGCTGCCTTCTCAAGGAAATGAGTAACAGACGACCTGTATTGTATTGGATAATGCTTATAATGACCTGAAATGAAAATAAAGTTATGATATTTTAGTTCTTATGTGCAATAAGCATGGAAGTAAACCAAGAGTTGACAATGAGAAAAATACTATGCACTGTTCATATATCCGATGAGTGTTTCCCATTTTTTTTTTTTTTTTTTCTTGCAATATCTTGGAAGACAAAACCCTCCAATAACCTCTTTTTATTGACAACTCTAAAGTTATACATTATCCATTTCTGGGAACTATTTCTGCAATTTTGCAAACTCATTTTGCAGTATAATAATCTTGGCATAAAATATGCACGCTCATGTGTTTAACGGTACAAGACCCATTGAATAACAGCCTCCAAGTAAGAGAATGCAAGTCCCCAAAGTCTACTTATCCTATTTTTTACACTTTCTGTTTGTCCAAGATAAGATGGTGCCCACAAGGTTTCACAAAAAGTTAAGAAGATATTTACAATAATTGCTATGCAGGAGTGTTGCCTCAACACGGCATAATTTCACTCAAAAAAGAACATAGATATTTCATTAAATATAACGAATTATTATAAAAAGTACGTTAAAGAACCAGTGCTAAGCTATGTTTAGAGTTTAACACATCACTGATGAGCAATATAACTTCTAAAGGTAGTGGGCAAAAAAGAAATTGAAAATCCACACAGGATACTAATAACAGAGAAAGAAAAAAGCTAAAAAATAAAAAATAAAAAGAGTTTTGAAACAAACCTAGGTGAGGGGAGCCATTCAATTTCACAAGATTGACATCTCCTCCAAGTTCTTGTAAACGTTGAGTAAAATTGTAGATAATATGATAAGGAGCCAGATCATCTTTATCAGAGCATAAAACGAGAAATGGAGCACCCAAATTCTACATGAAAAAGTAATTATTGCATTAATTAATAGAAACAAACAACAAACAACAAGTGGGTAAAGGCTAAATAAGAACTTACAACAGAGGAAAACAAAGCCTGCCAATACTCAGCGCACTGGGATTCAAACCTAGTAAGATACAAAGCATCCAGACCAGAAGCAATGCCTTTAGCTAGCCAAGAAACCAGTTTTGATGATCCAGGCATCTTTAGAATGGCTGGGTGTAGTCCATATTGAGTGCCCAGATCACTCGTAAAATCAACTGGACCAGAATCATAGATGTGTCCGGTAATACACTTTCTGACCAATCGATATTCGGCCTTCACAAAAGTTAAAGAAACTAATAAGAATCAGTGTCTAGAATGAATCTGTTGGATCAAATGGGCATTAACAAAAAAAATATAGTCCAGAAGTTTTAACTGAAATACAAAAGAAATGCATACCGGATAGAGCTGACCTTCACAAATTCCCTCAATAATCTGCATTTACATGTGCTAAAGTCATTACACAGTACCACCATTGTAACGAAATCAGTAAAGACCAGTTAAGACTTGCAAATAATAAATAAAAAAATTCCTGAAATAAGTTTATCAGTATCAAATACAAAATTGGTTATCTATCATTTATGAAAGTTACCTGAAAAACCTTGTACATACACGCTTTTGTACCAGCAGAAAGAGCCACAAACACTACAGGGCATGGCTTAATCCTTAGCTCCTGCAAACCCAAAATACATAAATGAATAAGTACTCAACAGATTACAATTGAGCAATATTAAAAGCTATACCGACGCCTAATTTATCCCAGATTAAAAACAGATGAAAGATTCGTATGGAACGGGATCCCACACCATACTGAAGTTGCGTTTTTCATTTTTTGCGTAGGTGTAAAACACATACACTACTCAAACAGTCATTAGCCAGGCATCGCACAATAGCTCCATACTATGCATCAAATCAGAAGAAACATTTAAAAATTGGCAAACTAGTACGGAAACTGACCTCAACAAGCTCATTGAGAATAACAAAGGCGGACGACATGGCCTTCTCGGGATCGAATCTGCACATGATTTCATCATCCGGGAACAAATTAGCTCGAAATGAAGCAAAATGAAATAAAGATCCAATCTTAAAGTCCTTCCATGAATCCCAAACCAAAATTTCTACCAATTACAAACCAACCCACGAAAGTTCCAATACACAAAGAATCCCAGGACGTAGGACAAGGACAAATAAAAAACTTATGCATGCTGTGTTTGACTGGTGAGAACATGTGAGAAAAGCCACTTACGCATGGAGAAAATGGGAATGGCAAACGAGGGAATTCCAACCGAGAGACGAATACAGATCCACGTAATTCTGCAAGTGTCTCTCGTGAATCGAAACCCAAGCGAAGATGACAGCGATTCCTTTTGAATCAGAGACCTCTTCCTTTCGTCCCCAGAAGATACCGCCGCCACCACCACCACCACTGCCACTACCTCCCCCACCCCACATAACTTAGCTTCTCCGCTACTCGGGGAATTTGGGGGAATAATTTTTTGGAATTCTAGGGTTTTGTGGATTTGTTAGATTGCGAAATAGTGGTTGGAGAGGTGTTGGCTTGCTAGAGCCACTCGTGTTCTTGTGTGAAATCTCAAACTCTGAGAAGAGAAAACGATAGGGGCTGCTGATCATGACGCTCATGGACCATGAACCGTGGGGGTGGGGCCGCCGCCACGTCAGACCGTTCGCACCACGCGCATTTTAGGATAAGCCCAGCCACTTTGGAAACCTGCTGGCAAATACGGATTAGGACAGAAACTTTCATGCAATCGGGATAATATTTTTGTTATTTCTGGCCAATAATGTAATAACAGTAATTATTATGCGTGTTATTATATTATTGAACAGATATAGCAAAATAGTCATATCTTCGTTACAAGTTTTTTTAGTGGATTAGGTCAGTTAATCACGACAATAAGAGCATCTACAATCATGTTCCTTAATTTTTAGTTAACGTTTAGCAAAAAAGACACGAAAACTATTTTAGGAGCTCTCTATAAAATTTGAATTCTAATCATACTTCATACTTTAGAGAGTCATAAATGCAACATTAAATTATATGGAGCCAATAGAAGTCATTTCTCTCTCCTCAGATGTAGAAGCTCTTAGAGGTCTCTCTATTTTAGGAGTTAGGAGCATGGTTGGAGATGTATTTTCCAATTCCTCTCAAAAATTTGTCTAATGAGGTAGTTTATGGAGTCCATTATGGATGCTCTAAGAACATCTA